ATGAATTTTTCACAATGATATAGATGAACTTAATTATATTGCATACTTGAGTTTTGGGGCAGCAAGCAGAATTGTGGTGTGTCTTTATAATGTTTGAAGTCTGAACCTTGGTTTTGGTACTTAATATTGTTATGGGTGATGAAGTGGAAGTACATTTATAAGAAGTCACTCAACGATTTTTGCTCGATTGTTTTGAGGTTATTATACTCTTCATTCGGTGGTTTTCTGGGTGGGTAGGGATACAGAATCAACCGAGAAGGGAGCTCTTACGTAAACATGGCCCATTTATATTGTTATGATGATAACTGATTAAGCTTTCTAGAGGTGATATTAAGTTATGTGGATAGATTATATTAAAAGTGGTTCGAGTAGATGTCAAAATGATGTTAAACGCTCAAAGCTTATCAGGTATTTGAGTTATGTAGTAGTAGGGGATGTAAAATGGGATGTGAAGCTGAAAATTAATTATTGCATTCCAATTGGGTGGTAGCTGGAAAAAAAGTAGAAAGAAGAGAGAAGAGACGGAAGGGACTTGTAATACGAATTCGAGAGTCATGCTGAAGTCTTACTATGGATGTTTTGTTGGATCATTACATCTCCATGTGACAATTAGATTTTTGAAAAAAGTTCCGCACAAAATCCTATCTGGCCATTGTCGCGAATCCAATTATTGCACCAGCTTAATCAAGAGGCTTTTTGAAGCTATGCTTTGAAATGCACCAAATAAGAAATAATCCAAAGTGAGAATATGAGATTATTGTGGTTCATATTTAGCAGCTTGGCTTGGTATACTTTGTGGTAATGCATGTTATAGCAAAATCTAATTCATGTCTGCATTACCTTTACTCGGGAAAATAAAGATTGCTGAAAATAATTATTAATTTAAAAAAGAGAAAGAAATACATAAATTCTTGTTCTTTTATTTAATCTTATTTGCATAGTACATATGGTTAAACATATCTCTCTCTTTCTGATTTCAGTTCTTCGGATGGAACTCGATGTACAAAACTTCATGCAGCTTCCCGATCTGCATCAGTTTGAGTTTCCCCACTTCCCCACTTCATACCTTCGTCTAGCAGCACACCGTGTTGCTCAGAATTACGGTTTACAGATCATTGTTGATGGACAAGGTATCAGGATTACAGTAATAAAAAAGCCAGAGAGTAAGTTTCCTGTTGTCTGCTTATCAGAAATCCCCGCCAATGATTTGGAAAACAATAAACTCGATCAAATCAAGATTGTCATTAGACCGAGGCCTAAAGCTTCTTCTAGAGACGCCGGTATGCTGGGGCTTAAAGATGGCCAAGTAAGAACTGTGGAAGAGAGGAGGGAGGAGTATGATCGGGCCCGGGCCCGGGCCCGTATTTTCAATAGGCCCAATAACTCTGATTGGGAAGATTCAATCGATCGGGCTTCTTCTAATGGGACAAACTTTCATGTGAATGATAATTACTCTCGAGTCGCGTTTTTAAGAGATAGGGAGAAAGACCGAACAAACCTGATTACGACCGTAGTTATGACAGGTATGCTTAGAGTAACTTTGCAAAGATAGTAAATGTATATTGTTTTTTAAGCACTATTTGTTAGGTCTCTGCAATAATCAATTATCTAGAATAAGTAATTCGTTTGTTATTAATATTACTATTATTCGAATTTTTTAACATTCAAGTTTAGCCCCCGATTTAGCCAGTCTTCGGTCGTGATGTTCATTTTCTTTTCTCATATACCACAGATATGTCAAGAACATCCCAACAGCTCAGGATTTTAGTATGGCGCCTTCTAATATGCAGAAATTTCAGCCTCCATTTTTCCAGTATGATTCACTTCACCCACAAATTGGTCAGATATATCCTCAACAAGCTTCTGTGGACTTTACGACCCCATTTATGAGTCCATACTGTGCCATAGGGTCGAATCAGAATTCTGAGGAAAGCACTTTATACTTGCCATGGTTAACACAGTCGATTATGTATGCACAGTCGTATGGTCAACTGAGGCACACATTTTTTCAGGTAGTATTTTTTTCACTTTAACATCCCCTTTGAGCTTTGCAGTGTTCTCTAAAAAAAATTAACAGATGAGTTCTGAAATTACCGGGAGAAAAAAAAAAAAAAAAAGGAAAGACCTTTGAGATTTATTCTGTTTCTATCTCGCATTCGATTCAACTTAAACTCAAAATTAACAGCCATGACTGACTGTCACGAACTTGCAGTTACGGTTTGCCGATAAGGATCAATTCGAGTCGTGATCTTAACATTTTTTTCAGTGATGCATTCAGTCATCTTTTTATCTTACAATCAGTGTTTGTCTTAATTTTATATCATCCATCAATTATTTTTCAGACAAAATTAATGCTTTTTTTTTTCCCTGATTTTCTGCAATGTCTGTAGACTGTAGGTCCCTTTCTGTCAGCAGCCACTAAGTTTTGATTACTCCCAAAGCCATTACCAATAACAGTTGGGAATATTTGCTTTGGGGAATGTCAGTGTGTTTCCTTAGGGTTTTTGTCTTCATATTAATGTCAAGTGTTGAAGACAGTTAAAATTTGAATATTTTTATTTCTTTTTTGTATCACTTTCTGATTTTAATTTTTTTTATTTTTTTTTTATGTGGTGGAAAAACTCTTTCTAGTATGGACTTATTATTGGAGAATGAACGGGATGGTTTCGTTGTGTTTTTCTAGCCATAGATATACATATAATCTAGTGACGGGTAATTAATCCAACGCTTAAAAACACAACGGAACCATCCCGTAACGGGATGGTAGCATTCTCCCTTATTATTATTTATATTATTATTGTTGTTGTTATTATTTTATTAAGGAGAGTATGGACTTTATTATTATTTTTATATTATTGTTGCTACTTTATTATTTGTTGCATGATTTTACCTATAGAGTGTAGATCTCTCATGCTTGTCTGCTTTTTTGCTAATTTTATGTTGTTATGTCTGAATTAAAATAATAATTTTTAGGGGTAGGTTTTGTGTGCTCTTATCTGCATGCTTGAGTCATGTAAGTGTGGCTTTACCTGTTTTTTCTTAGTGTGCTTGACTACAAAGATTCTACTAAACAAGTAAGAATTTCCTTCTTAAAAATTAGTATATAAACAAGGAAAATGCTACATTGTTACGGAACCATTCCGTTGGGATTTCTAACCGTTAGATCATCATGTAACCGTCGTAGATAATTGATTTAACGATTACAAACCTCTAATTTAGTCAAAAAAAAGGCTATTTAGCAAGCAAAGCCATTATATGTAGTTATAATTAATCAAATATGTAAATGCTTCACAAATGATTTCTAGTCGAAATGATGTGCATAATAAAAGCCCGAGTCAATTTGGTCGAGTCTGCATGCAATTCATGACCGCATGTGACCCGAGCTAACCCGATCCAAAATCCGACTCGGCCCGTAAAAGAATGATAAAATGTTGTGCATTCATATACTGAATACTGTTGAAGCAAACAAGTTGGTGTGGATTTTAAAATGAGTATAAATGAGAACATTGGGTTTAGATGAGATCTATCTATGCTAATGAACTTTGCCATGAATGAACCCGGTTTGAGTTGGGCCTAGCCTAGGTTTCTTTATTAGTAATATTATTATTAATTTATTATTTCTTTATTTAGTATACAGATTGGCACTTTACTTCAATTGAAAGTTGCACTTTTAGTTAAATTTATAATAAATATTAAAAAGGCCAAATGCTATAAAAAAAACGCTTGCATCATCATACTTTGACAGGGAGGTGATCTGCAGACCACATCTTGAGATTTCGTTTTTATCCTTCTGTTTTTTGGTTTTATTAATTGGTCCCTGCGGGGACATCCGATAAAATTGGCACGATACAGAGAAAATTAGCATGACTCCTGCGCAAATATGACACGCATAAATCGAGAAATAGCTATATATAATTGATCAAAGCACATGGGGTTGAAGATATAAATCATGTTTTATTCAACTTTCAATAAATTCACGAGCATTTTCAAATTAACACAAATTGCCATTCAAAACCATACAGTTACGTATTAAAAAAAAAAATATAGTTGTTTGTTGATTTGCATACAAACTATAAAAGATTTGCATTGGGGTTTGGTCTCTTTGATTCATATGAGTATATATGAACTGTCAAAACAATGAACGAAGGCCCGACAAAATCAATATACTTTTTAATTAATTTAATAATTAATTCATTATTCATTTAATTAAGATTGCCTAAGTTGTATCTTGTTTGGTTAATCAGATAATATTAAGTGATTAGCAGAGATCGGATCTGTTTGGATAATAAACTACGACAAAATCTAGGTAACACGCTATTATTTATTTACTTATTGAATGTCAATATATTCACACATAGTACTATGACATAAGTGTAAATGAACCGAACAAATCTCTAGCTCTTCAGCGTTTGTCAATGAGCTCGAGTTCAAATCGTTTATCAATACTAACTATTAATTGAGTTTGAACCTTTATAAAGTTCGAGCTCGAATCGTTTCTCAATATATTAACAAGTCAAACTCGTGCCGAACCGAATTATAATAAAATTACATAAGTTTTATATTCTTGAGCTTCCCTGGTCGTTAATTATTCGAGCTTTAAACGAGTCCAATCGAATCAAGTTCACGAGTAGCTCGTTTCCCGTTTAACTAACTTTATATGCAAAATGTCATTATTGTTGTTCTTATTTACACAAGTTGTAGTACTTTAATTGTACTTCCAACTAAGCTCTATCATACCCAATAATGTTGGTGATGCTCAAATAAGCAAATGTAAAAATTATTGTGACGTGCAATTGTAACATAGTTCAAATAATTGGACATTTGGACTTAATTGGGAATATATTTTAGGAGTATGCTACCATTCCGTTACGGGATGGTTCCGTTGTCTTTTTTAGCCGTAGATATACATGTAATCTATTAGTGTGTGTGTGTATATAATCTATGGTTAAAAAAGCCAATGGAATCATCCTGTAACGGGATAGTAGCATTCTCCTATATTTTATATCCAGTTTTGTATATATTTTTATGTATTTATGATGTGCACACTCACAATAGATCCCTTCACCAATTAATACCCCCCCAGTACGATGAAAATCTTGCCATTTCTGAAGGAAATTTTGAATTATCAGCTTTTTTTGGACTATATATTTAGTTATGTTATGAATAATGAGTGTACATTTAGTTTTGCAGTGCTTGATATATGGTCTTATAACCATTTGTCTGCAATGTCACATGAAGAATTAAACTGCAATGAATGGCATATTATTGTTTAAAAAACAAAAAGGAAACTAATGAAATTTCGAATTGCTAGAAATGTATTAACTATAGCTATGGTATGGATCAGTGGCTTTATGATGAACATTGGTTTATGTTCGGTTGTGGGTGCCGAACTTTGGGGTTTATTCCACGGGTTACACCTAGCCTGGGAGGTGGGAGGTCGAGCAATTATTGTTGAGGTGGATAATAAAAGTATTATTGCCCTGGTCCATGAGGTGGCTTATGATGGACCACACCTGACTTTGGTAAAGGGAATTCGGGAGCTGTTACATAGGCCCTGGGTGGTTAGGCTTTTACATGGCTACAAGGAGGCAAACTTTGTGGCGGATTATTTGGCCTCGCTGGCAGCGAGAGGCCCGGGTGGTTATCACCGATTGGACTGTCCCCCGCCGGGAGTCGGAGTTTGGCTAAATCATGACTTAATGGGAGTGGTTCATCCTCGGATGGTGGCTATGTAGTTCGTTTCTAGGCTTTGCCTCCTTTCTTGTAAAAAAAAAAAAGAAGTATTATGTCTAATTTCATGCGAAACTCCCACATTATCTTACCCACTATAAAAATCTTTGGAAGCCTACAACATATAGAATGGGTAGGTATATAATAAATAATTATTAAGTATTTAAAAAAGGGATGTAAATGCAAGCATGTGATGTGATAAATATTCATTTAATTAAGGTGGTAAAAAAAGAAAAACAGGAAAAGGCTTTTGTTGTTAGGTTTTAAGCTTTAATTATTAAACAAATGCTGTTGTTAGGTAAAAATATGTTCCACATACAATAAAGCCTGACTATGATAGAGACGAACAAGGTCTGTTTAGTACTGTTAAATTAAACAAGTCTGAGACAAACAAACAAGTCGAGACAAACAAGGTCTGCTTAGTGTTGTTACATTAAACGAGTCTAACTCGACTAGACAAGAGAGATTTGGCTAAGAGCATCCACACACAAATTATGGAGCTTTATGGCACCTCAACACAAAGAAGCTAGCTAAATTAAACCTCTAATTTTAGATTGTAACCACACAAAACCACCAAATTCACTCACTACAATTTAACTTTGTGTGAATAAACATCTTTTAAGCACTAAAGACATCTAAATAAGAAGAAAACTATAATATCTTCTGAGTAACTAAATTTGGGCCATAATAAATTGTCACACTTGCTCTGTTTCATTATCAGATTAACACTACCATTTCACTGAACTTTCTTACAGGGACAACAAATCTGGTAAAAAAAAAAAAGCCCAATCAGTATATAAAATCTCGAAATCCCACAGAGAGATCGTTCGAAATTTATAAGCTTCGGACTTCACATTTGACGATCATTATTCGTTAGGCGACACAGAAAACCGGCAAACAGAATGAGATAAGAACATCTCAAGAATTAGGAATAAGATAAAACTCTACAAGACAAAGAACATATGAAAACAGACATAGTATTGAGACAACAAGAAAAATACACAGAGAGAATACTTGAATTCTTGTTATTGATTTCGAAAGACGCTACAACTACATTTACAACGATCTCTACACATTAAACTAAACGAGAAAATTTAACCTCAGGGAGCTGTTACATTGCTACAACAATATCACCACAAATGAACATGAAAATCCAGCAAAAGATTTATGCAGTCTGTAGAGATTTTTTCATCACCACATACTCCCAACCTGTCTTGAAAATCACAGTGCTAACTAAAGATCGTTACTTAAGCCTTATCGAACAATCGAGTTGGCCTCTCTTTTTCCCGACTGAAAGTGTCGTTCGGTTACTTTTCGTCACTACAAATTTCAATTCTGCACTAGACGAACCTTCAGTCACTAGACTGATTAACGAGCCTGCCCAATTAACAATAAATCCGACCCAAAAGTCGGAAGTCGAACTTAAAAACAGAAATTCACTAAACAGATGGCTCCGAATAGCCAACAGCTCGATTGATCGATAGGAGCATCAAGAACAGATCAAGAAACACAAAAGCAACAGAAAAAGAAAATAAAAAAGAAAAAACTACAAATGCGCAAAGACTGCAATTTTTTTTTTTTTTTGGGTTTGTCATCCGACCAAAGTTTCAAGTTTCAATCATCTCCGGTCGGAAAAAGGGTGAGGACCTTTCTCCCGTTTGCCGGCTCCACGTCATCAGCGTAACCCAGCGGGCCCATACCGTTGCTTCCGTGGACCGGCGTCCCGATCCTCTGCATCTGCGAGCCCCCAAAATGCCGGAAATGCTGCTGCATCTGGTGGTGGGCGGCCGCTGGCGTCTGCGGCTGCGGAGGGCCCACCATCTGGTGGTGGTGGTGGTGGTGATGCATAGACATCGGGACCAGCGGCAAGAAGTGGTCGGAGGAGGGGCCGGTGGAGCAGGGCCGAGCCTGGTGGAGGAAGTGAGGGGGGACAGGGGAGCTGGCGAAGAGGTGGTCGGTGGCCGCGTCGACGGCGGCGGCGGAGCCGGGGCCGGAGGAGATGCCCTGCATACGCTTGAGGTAGAGGCGGTATTTCTGGAGGTGGCTGGCGACGTTCTCGCGGGTGAGGCCGTCGACGCTCATGAGCTGCATTATGGTCTTGGGGACGGCGTTCTTGATGCCAAGGTGGGCCACAGCGTCGACGAACCGCTTGTGGAGCTGTGGGGTCCACACGAGGCGGGGACGCTTCAGTGTGCGGGCGGGCTCGTCGGCGGCGGCGCCGCCGGAGTCGAACTCGGCGGAGGAGTTGGGCTGGGAGGAGAGGGCGGCGGAGTGAGGCGGAGGGGGAGGCGGCGGCGGCGGCGCGTGGTGGGGGCCGGGGATGTTGAAGGCGAGGGCCAGATCAGGGGTGATTAGGGTCTGGGAAAGGGGGGTAAGCTCCTCCGGCGCCGGCAATTCATCCTCCCATTTGGAAAACCAGTTCGAATCATCCTCCCTCATCTCTCTCTCTCTCTCTCTCTCTCTCTCTTTCTTTCTCGAGTTCCTAGATCTTTTCCAGCACGGAAAACAACGAAATTAATACGAAAAAAACAGAAAGATACGATTTTTATGGGAAAGATCGAATTTTTATGCCTTTAGGAGGGTGTTCAATCGAGTAAATCCTCGCCCCATCTTCTCCAAATCAAGAACTTAATACGAAATTCCAGACACA